CCCCCTTTCTCAAACCTTCCCAATTTCTCTTTCGTCCCCCATTTATCCACATTTATCCCATTCCCCCCTTTCGTAGCTGGGCGACTGGGATTTCTGGCTCACCTGGGAAGATCTGAGGAAGAACCGAGACGTCGTATTTCCCGAAGTTTCTCGAACCTTCCACGCGGGTTCAGCGGGGGTTCACGTCACGGGCTTCGAGCAGGAGTCTGTGTTCAACCGCATGATCTACAACTTGGAGCCCGAGGTCGAGCTTGATGTTCGAGAGTGAGTTTTTTTTTGTCGAGAATGAAGTTTTTTATTTTTTATCTTTTTTTATTTTCATTTATTTTTTTTTTTCAAGAATGAATTTTGGAAAGATAACCGAAAGGGGAACGAAATTTAAAGCCCGAGGTCGAGCTTGATGTTCGAGAGTGAGTTTTTTTACTTTTTTTGTGTGTTTTTTTTTGTTTTTTTTGTTTTTTGTTTGTCAAGAATGAATGGAAAGATGACGAAAGGGAAACGAACTCAAAGCCCGAGGTCGAGCTTGATGTTCGAGTGTTTTTTTCTTCTTTATTCTTTATTTTATTTATTTATTATTACTTTTTTTGTCAAGAATGAATTTTGGAAAGATAACGAAAGGGGAACGAACTCAAAGCCCAAGGTCGAGCTTGATGTTCGAGAGTGAGTTTTTTTTTTTTACTTTTTGTGTTTTTTTATGTTTTGTCAAGAATGAAGTTTGGAAAGATAACGAAAGGGAAACGAACTTGTCTCGAGGTCGAGCTTGATGTTCGAGAGTGAGTTTTTTCCGTTTATTTTTTATTTATTTATTTTTTTCATGAATTTTGGAAAGATAGCGAAAGGGGAAAGAACTAAAAGCCCGAGGTCGAGCTTGATGTTCGAGAGTGAGTTAATTTTTTTTTTTTTTTTTTTTACTTTTTTTGTCGAGAATGAAGTTTGGAAAGATAACGAAAGGGGAATGAACCCAAGGTCGAGCTTGATGTTCGAGAGTGAGTTTTTCTTCTTCTTTATTCTTTGTTTTTTTATTTTTTTATTTGTTTATTTATTTATTTATTTTTGTCGAGAATGAAGTTTGGAAAGATAACGAAAAGGGAAAGAACTCAAAGCCCGAGGTCGAGCTTGAAGTTCGAGAGTGAGTTTTTCTTCGTCTTTATTCTTTTTCTTTTTATTTCTTTATTTATTTTGTTTTATATATTATTAGTTTTTTGTCAAGAATTAATTTTAGAAAGATAACGAAAGGGGAACGAACTCAAAGGTAATAATAACGAAAGGGGAAATAACGAAAATAAAAATAAAAATAACGAAAGGGGAAAGAAAGGAAAGGAGGATAAGATTATGTCGACTAATTAACTCCTTATTAGAGCATAGAGCACTTAATTACTCTATGAGTCTTGGAAAATGATTTGGGAAATTTCTAGATTCTAAATTTTGTAAATTATAGGCAGTAAATCTCTGAAGTATATAGTCTGGTTGTCATTACATGTTGCTAAATGGCTGTGATATTCATTATTTTTATATGACTGAAAGAGAGGTGTTTGTGTGGGCGTGTGTGTGTGTGAGTGTGTGTGTGTGCGTGTGCGTGTCTGTGCGTGTGCGTGTGTGTGCGTATCTGGGTGTTTGTGTTCGTGTGGCGCGCGTGTGTGTGTGTGCATGTGGTGTGTGCGTGTGTGAGGGTGAGATGAGAGGATGGCGAAGGGTCCTGTTGTTGACATACATATTCATACATTTTATACATTCCTCTCCCACTCCTTTTACCAAATAATCCACAACAGATATCCAATTATAACTAATACCACCCAACCACAGCACCACAACCCTCCCCCCCCCGACCCACAACCCCTCCCATTCACAACCCTTTGACCTCCCTTCCACCCCCAGAGTCGTCAGGGATAGATACGACCAACGCTTGACCTCTGACCTCGAACGGGCACTCGAGCTGACCCCGCCGAGGGACGTCTGCGCCATGACCTGGGTTCCCCGCGACTCCTCCGTTCCCGTGGCGATCTACGTCTACGCGGAAAATTCGAACGATAGACATTGGGGCTATCGGCTCTTCCTCTCGGTGAGTGACGTCATGCTCTTAGAGGTGACGTCATACTTTTAGCTCAGATGTGACGTCATACTTTTTGCTTTTGGGTGGACGTCATATTTTTAGCTTTTGGGTGTGACGTCATGCCTTAGCTTTTGGGTGACGTCATATTTTTACTTTTAGGTGTGACGTCATACTTTTAGCTTTTGGGTGTGACGACATATTCTTAGCTTTGGGTGTGACGTCATATTTTTAGCTTTTAGGTGTGATGTCATACTTTTAGCTCAGATGTGACGTCATATTTTTAGCTTTTGGGTGTGACGTCATACTTTTTGCTTTTGGGTGTGACGTCATATTTTTAGCTTTTGGGTGTGACGTCATATTTTTAGCTTTTGGGTGTGACGTCATAATTTTTGCTTTTGGTGTGACGTCATATTTTTAGCTTTTGGGTGTGATGTCATATTTTTTAGCTTTGGTGTGATGTCATATTTTAGCTTTGGGTGTGACGTCATATTTTTAGCTTTTGGGTGTGACGTCATATTTTTTGCTTTTGGGTGTGACGTCATATTTTTTGCTTTTGGGTGTGACGTCATATTTTTTGCTCTGGGTGTGACGTCATACTTTTTGCCTTTGGGGTGTATGTCATATTTTTTGCTTTGGGTGTGACGTCATATTTTAGCTTTTGGGTGTGATGTCATATTTTTAGCTTTTAGGTGTGATGTTCAATATTTTTTTGCTCTTGGGTGTGACGTCATACTTTTTGCCTTGGGTGTGATGTCATATTTTTGCTTTGGTGTGACGTCTATATTTTTAGCTTTGGGTGTGATGTCATATTTTTAGCTTTTAGGTGTGATGTCATATTTTTGCTCTTGGGTGTGACGTCATACTTTTATGTCATATTTTTTGCTTTTGGGTGTGACGTCATATTTTTTGCTTTTGTGTCATATTTTTAGCTTTTGGGTGTGACGTCATATTTTTAGCTTTTGGGTGTGACGTCATATTTTTAGCTTTTGGGTGTGACGTCATATTTTTAGCTTTTGGGTGTGACGTCATATTTTTAGCTTTTGGGTGTTGACGTCATAATTTAGCTTTTGGGTGTGATGTCATATTTTTAGCTTTTAGGTGTGATGTCATATTTTTTTTGGGTGTGACGTCATATTTTAGCTTTTTGTGAGCTGATGTCATATTTTTTAGCTTTTGGGTGTGACGTCATATTTTTTGCTTTGGTGTGACGTCATACTTATTAGCTTTTGGGTGTGACGTCATATTTTTAGCTTTTAGGTGTGACGTCATCTTTTAGCTTTGGGTGTGACGTCATATTTTTAGCTTTTAGGGTGTGATGTCATATTTTTAGCTTTTTGTGAGTCTTTAGCTTTGGGTGTGATGTCATATTTTTAGCTTTAGGTGTGATGTCATGCGTCTTTTGATGTCAATTTTTTAGCTTTTAGTGTGATGTCATGCGTTTAGCTTTTGGTGTGATTGTCATATTTTTAGCTTTTAGGTGTGACGTCATACTTTTAGCTTTGGGTGTGACGTCAATATTTTTAGCTTTTAGGTGTGATGTCATGCGTTAGCTTTGGGTGATGTCATATTTTAGCTTTTAGGTGTGATGACATGCTTTTAGCTTTGGGTGTGGACGTCATATTTTAGCTTTTAGGTGTGACGTCATGCTTTTAGCTTTTGGGTGTGACGTCATATTTTAGCTTTTAGGTGTGACGTCATACTTTAGCTTTTGTGTGATGTCATGCTTTTAGCTTTTGGTGTGATGTCATATTTTTAGCTTTAGGTGTGACGTCATTTTTTTAGCTTTTGGGTGTGACGTCATATTTTAGGCTTTTGGTCAGTTATTTTTACGCATATTTTTAGCTTTAGGTGTGACGTCATACTTTTAGCTTTTGGGTGTGACGTCATATTTTAGCTTTAGGTGTGATGTCATATTTTTAGCTTTTAGGTGTGATGTCATGCGTTAGCTTTTTGGTGTGATGCATTTTTTAGCTTTAGGTGTGTATGTCATTTGCTTTTGGGTGTGATGTCATGCTTTTTAGCTTTTAGGTGTGACGTCATACTTTTAGCTTTTGGGTGTGACGTCATATTTTTGCTTTTGGTGTGATGTCATGCTTTTAGCTTTTAGGTGTGACGTCATACTTTTAGCTTTTGGGTGTGACGTCATACTTTAGCTTTTGGGGTGACGTCATCTTTTTTGCTTTGGGTGTGATGTCATTCTTTAGATTTTAGGGTGTGAGTCATATTTTTAGCTTTTAGGTGTGACGTGCATATTTTTAGCTTTGGGTGACGTCATATTTTTAGGCTTTGGGTGTGAGTCATATTTTAGCTTTTGGGTGTGACGTCATATTTTTAGCTTTAGGTGTGACGTCATACTTTTAGCTTTTGGGGTGTGATGTCACTTTTTGTCATTTTTTAGCTTTTAGTGTGACGTCATACTTTTTTGCTTTTGGGTGTGAGTCATTTTTGCTTTTGGTGTGACGTCATATTTAGCTTTTGGTGTGAACGTCATATTTTGCTTTAGGTGGGTCATGCATTTTGGGTGTGACGTCATTTTAGCTTTTGGTGTGACGTTCATATTTTTAGCTTTTAGTGTGACGTCATATTGTTAGCTTTTGGTGTGACGTCATGCTTTAGCTTTTGGGTGTGACGTCATATTTTTTGCTTTTGGGTGTGACGTCATATTTTTTGCTTTTGGGACGTCATTTTAGCTTTTGGGTGTGACGTGCATATTTTAGCTTTTGGGTGTGACGTCATATTTTAGCTTTTGGTGTGATGTCATATTTTTAGCTATTTTAAGGTGTGACGTCATATTTTTTGCTTTTGTGTGACGTCATACTTTTAGGTTTTGGGTGTGACGTCATATTTTTAAGCTTTTAGGATATGACGTCATATTTTTTAGCTTTTGGGTGTGACGTCATATTTTTAGCTTTAGGATATGACGTCATATTTTTAGGCTTTTGGTGTGAGC